GCACCGGCAGAAGCAGTTCTCATCACTGCTTCGGTCTGTCGCAGAGTCAGGCGCGGTGGGTGGATGAGGTAGCGCTGCCGCTGCCCGTCGTCAGTATGGCTGGTCCGCTCAGTGAAGGACCGCGACGTGACGTGCACCGGGATCGGCCGGCGCGACTTGCGGCCTCCTCTAACACCCCGGCGACCGACTCCTCTTGCAATACCGAGCTGCTTCAACCGTGCTAAGAAGCCGTCGCTCGGTACACCCCAGCGCTCGGCGGTCAGGTCTCTAAGCTGAAGTAGTCTCAGTCGTGTATAGATGGCGCCACCGACCCGGTGCTCCGGCGGTCGGTCAGCTGCGGTCACGTGATCAGTGACAGTGGAGTTCAGGGTCACCGGCGCTGCAGCAGCTGATGGGCCAGGTGAGACAGTCATGGCGCGGAGAGGCACAGCGAGCTCGTACAGCTGACCACGAACGTAAACAATCTCAGTGCGAGACGAAACCGGCGCGGCAGCGGTGTACTCGTGGATCGACGTACCTCGGCTCCAGGTGAGTAGCGCGAAGAAAAACACACAACAATACTTTCCCTCACTGCTAGCATACATAATGGACACAAATATGCACCTAAAGATTGATAAAAACTAGAGCTGTAACCCAAAACTATCGGAGCACAATCCAGCTCCTGGGCGCAGCGACACCAGCGCCCTCTCTCTTGATATTAAACGGTGACCCAAAACAGCAACATTTTTTTGTTTGACCTGACCTGGAAGGTCAATGACTGACCTGAGAAGGTAAAACTGGGTATCATTGGATTCGTCTCTTCCCAAAGAATCTTTTTGGTCTTTACCGCTAAGCTCTATCTCCAACAGGAACGAAATGGCGCGGGGGGTGGCGCAAGGCAACCCCCCCCCCCCCCCATGTGCGTTCTAGGATGGGAAAATGGCGATGTGCGGACGAGTTAAGACTTTTGTTCAGCAATGAAAATTTTCTTTGGAATTTTTAAAAATACCTAATATTAATTTTTGATTCATCGCAATCTTAGTGTTGTTTACAGTTTGTTGGTTGCTTAAAGGGACCCTCCCACCTTAACATTAGTTTTGAGTTGAGATAGCCAAGTTTGCGGCCAGGCTCAGAAACCACCATTTATCCTGGTCGCAACCCCCGCAGCTTTATGGTGTTCAAGAAATTTCTTCCGTTTACTTGCAGGGTGGGACCAGCGTGGTCCCTATCTCTTAACCATTACGGGAATCTGATGACGTCATCAGGCTTTCGAACGTCCGTTAAATGTTTGACTAAAACGTTTTGTAGCACGCGGTGGTATATGCTGTTTGCGCGCAACAAATGCCGCACTTTCAAATAAAGTCGCTAGGAACAGCGGAGATCCCAAAAAGTAAACAAAAGTAAAAGTCTAATATCTTGAAAACCGGTGAATATTTTTCGATGAAATTTGGTAGATATTCGTTTTTGCTCTTTCTGAACCGAGCGACATCACTTTCATGCCAATTCATTAACTTTTTTGAAGGTGGGAGGGTCCCTTTAACCCGTTCTTGAGTTATAGGCCATCAAACTCACCCTTACCAACCGAAGTTAAAAAAAAATGTAATGCAATATAACTCAAAAAGTTTTGATCTGAGAAGTCTGATATTTTGCCAGGCGTCTTTGGGGCCTATGATTACCCCTAGGACCGATTTTCATTAAAATCTGAGAGATGAGGGTGACGGGCCTGGTACGATCTATCGTGGAATGCCACAACGGCCAGAGCCCAAAACGTGAACAAGCCAAAATGCTAATAATTTTTACTTTGACCTGACCTGTGACGTCATCGGTGACCTCGAGGTCACTGAAATTAGGTTTCATTCGACAGTTTTCTGGGGCTATCAGACGCCGCTTGAATTTTGTCGATCGGCCCAGTAGTTTCGGAGTTAGGAGGGGGGGGGGGGGCTATGAAGAGCTCCCCCCCCCCCCCAGTAGGGCGTGTTATACGCAGACCCCAGTGGGGCGCGGGTTATAAACTGCACAGCAGTGCGTAAAAAATCGAAATCATCCGATGAGTTTTGGAAATTTGGGGAAACTTTTTGGGGTATGCCCCCCCCCCCGCAGCGTCCAAGACTGCCTTTCTGGATCCGCCAGAGCGTGAGCCGGAGCTCATCCTTGGCAAAGATTGTTAGGCAGACCTCGACCCCTACCGCCCCATGAAACCATTGAGATCGAACGATTCCGGGTGATGGGGTTAGAATGAGAAACAATAATATTTCTCTTACACGTCTATTTCCTTTAATAATGTGTGTGTTGCTTACTATTTTAACATAAAAAAGCCGAGTTCTGTTTTCCTAGCCTCTTTCCTATATGCCACTTATGTTTTTTGCGCAAATGATACAAATATGAACGATAGCCTAAGGCGTTTAATATAAAAGCGATAGGATTTTCAGAAGAACGTTGCCCAGCAACTAGCTTTTGAAATGCTCGAAACATTTATATTTTCTGTTAATTGCTAGGCAACTCACGATCGCAAGCCGAATAATCTTTGGAACCCCTTACTTAGAACAGGAAAAGCAAGAGAGGGGCGCTTTAGGGCCTTTGGGCGCGCAGATCGAATGTGTGTAAAAGGCCTTGGCAAAAGCCCTGGGCAAAAGCGATAGAAACTAGAAGCGTCAGCATTGCAGCATTGGCATAGTGGTTACAGATTAAATGTTTTATGAGTCGTAGAACGTAGGCATTCCATCCATAGTATCCGTAAGAATCTTGATCTTTAGGAATCTTGGGCATTCCCGGGCAATGCCCAAGAATGGCGTGAAATTTGGGCTCTCACGCAGTTTGTTTCAGGGTGTCGTTTTATGGCTAACAAATTGTACTGATTTAATGTTACTTTGGTACATTGGGGTAAGATAAGATGCCCCCTGTCCTGATGGGGAAAGACGCCCCCCCTAAATCCGTAGGCTGTCCAAGCAGCCCGTCAAATAATTTATTACATACTTGTGATGAGAGACAAAAGTCGATCTGGGAATATTGAGAGTCCAGTGCGGTCGGGTGATCCCCATGCCTGATGCCGGTCTCCCGCCCCACAGCGACTTTTTGGGCGGCATCTGACTGAGTGCCCTCACGATGGCCTCTGTGGGCCCCATTATTGGCTCCAGGGCCTCTCACAACATACTTTGAGGGCTCCCACGTTGGCTCCATGGGCCGCGCTGACATCCGAGGTCCCCACGATGGGCCTGAGGGCCCTCAAGCATCATGAAGACCTATAAGGGCCCCACAGTGGTCTCCGAACGCGACCACGGAGGCTTGTTTGGCCGCGCTGGACTATGATGGTCCTAACAATGACCTCTGAAGCCCCTTACGACTACTTTTGAGGGCCCTTACGATGACGTTTGGTGTCTAATGCAGGCTCGAATGGACTACTGATTCGTTCAGGCGATTCACGTGCCCATTTATGTCATTTATAGTGCAGGAGGCATCTTCCCCAATGCCAGGGGGCGTCTTTCCCACCCTGTAGGGTAAGATGCCCCCTTTCACTTCTTCAGGAAATTGCTTAACCCGCGACCGCCTGGGGGGGGATCGGATCCGACCCCCCCTCCGTTTTTCTTGAATAACTCATGAACCGCTTGAGCTATCAACTTGAAACTTTGCATACCTTTTCCCCCATCAATTTGACGTCTCCTGTGCAATTTTTAAGAAAAAATTTTCAAAAATTTCTGAGATATATCGATTTTAGTGATGTAACTACATGGCGTTTTCAGTCAAAAAATGGTAAATGTTTAAAAAATCGCCAAAAATCGAGGTTTTAAGCAAATTGCAAATTAAGGACATGAAAAGACGCAGCTCAACGAGTTCTTTAAAATGGCTATCTCGGATTTCCCATAAAATGCGTTTTTCACCCCTAAAAATTCAAAAAACTATATTGTATGGAAAACAGCTAATAAAATCCAAAATTTTGAGAATTTCCAAAAAACCGGAATATATGTTATAGAGTTCTATTAGAACAATATATGTTCCCAATTTCAACTTTCTATCTTGATTTTTGACCCCCAAATTGTGAAAAATAGCTCCAACATGCATAGGGCATGGTGACGTCATAAGCATTTTCGCGAATTAGAGGTTCTTCTGAACATCGCATGTGAAAACAAATGGCACAACTAGATTCCTGGGACAAAGCTCGTCTAGAAAAGTGCATTTTTATGTCAAAAATAAAAAGTTGAAAAATTGACTTTTTTTCTTAGCCCTCGTTTAGTTATGTATGGTATAAACGATTTTTTATGCTTTCAATGCACACTTATCACCAGCACAGTGACTTTGGGTCACATATAACCATTACCATCGGATTTGGCGTGAAAAATAAGCCATAAAACATGTGTCGCACGCCCATGTAGCAGAAAGTGAAAACCGTGACCTTTCGTGACCTGACCTGACCTTGAACCGTACTTAGTATGACCCCTATACGCACATGGTACCTTCACTAGGTCTTTGAGGTCATTTGTGGTGAGTTTCGAGCAGCAGCTATCGATTCCGCTGTCCGTAAGCCTAATCATGCAAAACCCCTGAATTTGACCTTTGACCTGACCTTGACCCGAAAGTTGACCTCAATCTTAAAATCTTAAGAGTGCTTTGGGAAGGTCTCGTAGAGACCTTTCGAACGCCGCCTCGCGGGGCTCGATACGACCATTGGTTCTCGAGATAACAGGGGGGGGGGGTCGGATCCGACCCCCCCAGGCTGATGTGGGTACGGAAATAGCCCAGGCGGTGCCGGGTTAATAGCTAAAAACGTTATCATATTTCAGGCACGAAAGTGTGATATTTTTGGAGAAAAATGATGTCGGCTTCCGTTGAAACTCCAAGTTTTTGCTTTCCGATCGTCATTTTCGAATAATATATGACATAGTAAAACCCTGGGCATCTTTCCCCACTCTCTCCTACCTTATTTTATTGTTAAATTGCATGATAATGTAATGGTTATATTGAAAAAAAAATCAAGTGCTTGTTTTTCCTAGTTCCCTCTGACTGTTGTGCTCATTTGACATTTTCAGATTTTATTTTCACTGTGTTAACTAGTGACAATTCTAAGTATGGCTGACAAGACGTCATCATCAGTATTTAAGTATCTCCATGATCAAAACCGTCCATATAGTGTAACTGATATACACATGAACCTTCACAAAGAATATGGGAAAACTGCTGTTCAGAAGAGTTTGGATGCTTTGGTTGAGGTAGGTCATCAATTATGTATTTCGCTTAAAAAAAAAACAAGCTCTGTCTAACTCTGGAGTCTGGTGCAACCTTACATTGGTGTGCAATGTGTTACATCTTGCTTGTGCTCATCTTTTTTTTTTGTCTGCTAATTTTTTTGCATACCTAAGGTATGAAGATCATTGATCCCCAGAATGCCATTAATTTATTAAGATATACATACAAGATTTTACAAATGACAGATTCAAAGTCCTTTACATTTAGTGCATGCTATTTAAGTGTTCATACACTTTTCTGTGACGTGGTGTCCATTAAAATGTCCTCATTTCATCTAATGTGCTCTCTAGTTTCACCCCAACCACTGTTTGGTTCTTTCTTGCCCTCAGGAGAAGAAGGTCATGGAAAAGGTGTATGGAAAGCAGAAGGTGTATGTTGTGAACCAGGAGCTGTTCCCCAAAGCTGAGGAGGCTGAAATTAAAGGCATGGATGCAAAGTAAGGCAAATCAAACTTTTTTCTAGTATCTAATATTTAATACCAATCAGTTTTGTGAAGCTCATCATACACCGGATAATGTGCTTACAAACTTGTCATAAACTGGCCTTTACTCAGAGACAGAGTACGACGACTCGTCTCCCCGTAGGATCGCCGAGCTGACCGCCCAACTGGCCGAGGAGGCCGCGGCGGCACGGGAGCTGGAGGCCAGACTGAAGGCTACTACCAACAGCCTGACGTCGGAGCAGGCCAAACGAGAGCTCAAACAGGTGGGATCGCCGGACACTGAGGGCCCGCGTCTCTGTATACTGGTTCGCCCCGACGTTTAGTTCATCGGCGATTGAAGTACATGCGACAACAGATTTGGAATGTGGGCTATTGAGGCTATAAAATTGCCTAAATATGTCTATTCACTAACGCTTCTCGTAGAAGGGAGAAGTGTTCTGTAATATCTCGATTGTCGAGTGAAGTAGACACCAGCTTAACATTGTTAGAACACCCGCCAGAAGTGCAAACTGTGCGTCCTCAGCGACCGATTGGGCCCCGATCACGTCCCTCTCGCGTCCTTCTGGTATGATCAGGACGGCCAGATGACCCCCCTTCCCTGCCCGTCCGGTTCTCCGCAGTGTGAACAGGACGTGGCCAGTCGGACCGAGAAGCTGGCCGCGCTGAAGCGTCTGTCGGGCAATGTGACGGCCGAGGAGCGGCGGCGCGTCCAGGAGCGTCACCGCCGGCTGGTCACCGAGTGGAGGAAGCGAAAACGCATCGCCACAGACATCGTGGACGCCATCATGGAGGGCTACCCGAAGAAGAAGAAGGACCTGCTGGAGGAGATCGGCCTGGAGACGGACGAGGAGGCCGGCGTCACGCTGCCCAAGTGAGACGGCCTGCTGGGGGCCCGGACGGGCCGGTTGTGGGGGACGTTTCGTACCTGATGTCCGGTGTGGTGAGGAGGCGCCCACTGTGATGACGTGGTGACGTGGTGACTGTGCGGCGTTGGGTGTCTGCAGTCGCGACAAGGCCGAGGGTGGTAGCTGGAGGCGGGTCCGCCTGATGGGCTCAACTGGATTGACTCCAGTATTGTTGATTGTTGCATTGCTGTGCTGCCATAACATTGTGTGTCGTATGGTGGTTCTTCAGCGGACGAGATCTGTCCCGCCACTGCCTATGGCTGGGCCATAGGCAGACAGACGTATGGGTTTGTCAGCTGCCTGGTCCTGTAACGCTCAGTCAGTGCCAATCTGAGCAGATAATGAACTCCTGTTTTCAAGGGTGGTCGTTTGTTATGCGGCACGGGGCAGTTATATAACTGCGTTTCGCGGCTAGCTATTTTTTCTTTGCCATTTCCAAGGCCGCCACTTCTGTGCAAATGAATGACTGGTCGTGTTTGCTCGGTCCTGTCCTGTGTTGGGCTTTGTGAGCGGACAGCCAGCTCATGGTCTGATCTCTCCGACAAGTTCACAATAAATAAATGTATTTAACTTTGGTGTTTCAATAAGCACAAGGCAGACAAACAGAAAAACCTCCATGGAGAGCATCCTGCGAATTCGCCCCTTAAGTGCTAGTAAATCACAATCACAAGACGACCCCTCACATCCCCGGGCCAGGCCACTAAAACTTTTCCTTCTACTCAAGAACGCATAGTTATAGCGAGACCTTTCACACAAAAATAAACATTTTTTTTTTTTCGGGCGGATATTGCTTTACACCTAGCGCGTGTTATGAACCCTTCACCCATCCCCTATATGATCACGACACACAACTCATACAATACAGCATGGCGCTAATGCCAGAATGATGGAACGTAGCCTCTATGCACAGCGGGATTTCACTCGGAAAGCCAACGGAAATTATGCGTTCGGCCGAGGCGCCGGCGCCACCGTCGCACTAATAGTGCCGCTATCGACCGCTAGATGTCGGCCCTAGACGTCCAGCTTGGGCGGCAGCTCGGCGTCGGCGGCCGTGATGCTGGAGTAGGCCGGCGGCGCGTCCTTCACCTCGGAGGTCTTGGTCGGCTCCTGTTCGGCCACCGCCAGCGAGTACTTGGGAGGCAGGTCCTCGGCCACCTCCACGTGCTGAAAACGCGCGGGACGTCAGCCAACGGCGCTTAACCAGTGCTATTTACATACGTTCTTGTCTGCACTCTGAAATACACATGAATGCACCATACCTGTGTATGCGTTCATCTAATTACCACCGGAACGGTTTACCCGAAAATACCTCCATAACCTGCAATCACTACCCTGCCCATCTGATCCCGCAGCCACTCGCCTGGACGAGCTGGTCGCGCAGTTCGCGGCGCCGGCGGCGGCGCACCACCACAATCAGGCAGTAGCAGGTGTAGAGCACCAGCGCCGTGCCCAGCAGCAGCACGCCCAGCATGACGTAGTGGGGCGTGCAGCGCCAGGCGCGCCGCCAGCTCGACTCGTGCTGCCGCGCCGCCGCTCCCGTCACTGCGGGAGGGCAGGGAAGGGGGGGGGGGGGGTCAGACACAGCCGCTCCCGTCACTGCGGGGAAGACAGGGGAGCATTGACCTCTATCGCTCCCGTCACTGCGGGGAGGACAGGGGAGGGGGGTCAGATACAGCCGCTCCCGTCACTGCGGGAGGGACAGCTGGGGAGGGGGGTCAGATACAGCCGCTCCCGTCACTGCGGGGAGGACAGGGGAAGGGGTCAGATACAGCCGCTCCCGTCACTGCGGGAGGGACAGGGGGGGGGGTCAGACACAGCCGCTCCCGTCACTGCGGGGAGGGGGGTGTCAGATACAGCCGCTCCCGTCACTGCGGGGAGGGCAGGGGAGGGGGGGGTTTCAGATACAGCCGCTCTCGTCACTGCGGGGGGGGGGGGGTCAGACACAGCCGCTCCAGTCACTGCGGGGGGGGGGGGGGGGTGCAGGGGAGGGTCAGACACAGCCGCTCCCGTCACTGCGGAGGGGGGGGGGGGGCAGGGGAGGGTCAGATACAGCCGCTCCCGTCACTGCGGGGGGGGGGGGGTGGCAGGGGAGGGTGAGATACAGCCGCTCTGCCGCTCCCGTCACTGCGGGTCAAGGCAGAAGGACGGGTCACGGTCGGGGCGCGACTGCTGGCGCCGATATACGGCAGAGCTGGAGAGAGTGGGCGGTGAGCACCTCACGACCCACGCGTCCACAGAAGTGAGAAGGGCGCGAAGACTACGACAGAGCCGACCACCCGAGAGCCGGGAGGTGAATGCCAGTGCATCAGAAATAACTAATTTACGGAAATAAAGGGACAGAGATCCTGAGCAGAAAACCGACAGAAACGGGACAAGGACACACGGTGCAGGATAAAACAGACGACACGCCACACAGAACAAGAAGACCGAGTTGTGAAACTGATTCGATACAACCTGATTATATAACAGACACAAAGACGTCAGTTGTCGTGACAAACCAAAAGCCAATACGCTGCGTAGTGACGCAACAAAACGCTCTCACTGCGGTATCGATTCGTGACCACCGGATACAAATCTGGGCTATAAGAAGCTTATCTAGCACGATAAGTCATGATGCCATAGATACCACTTCCCGCTCTTTTGGGTGCGTTGCGTATAAAGCGTGAAACAGTATTTACTGTTGTAAGCATCTGTGAAAATAGGATTAATTGCCGAAAGCAGATATGCAACTAACAAAAAAGGCGCCTTTTCCTTCCCCAACCGTCACTAAGTATCCAGTGGGTCACCGCGCCCAATGTTCAGCGCTTTCCCCTACCCCGGGTACCGGACATATCCCGGTGCGCCTGCGAGAGCCGGGTCCCGGCCCACGAAACCCTCCCTGTCCTACACCTACTGAACATGTTCCGGTGCGTCATTGAAAACCTGTTTTGGCCCTCTGAACCCTCCCCTGTCCCCCACCTACCGAACATGGGCCGGTCAGTGCGCCAGTGAGAGCCCCCTTCCCCTCCCCCACCTACCGAACATGTCCCGGTCAGTGCGCCAGTGAGAGCCCCTTCCCCTCCCCCACCTACCGAACATGTCGCGGTGGGCCTGGGCGAGCCGGTCCCGCAGCTGCTGCTCGGCCTGCTCCATCCTCTGCTCGACCAGCGCCTGCTCCTGCCGCTCCTGAGCCTCCTGAACCTCCTTCGGCTGCTCCTCGCCCTGCTGCTGGCGCTCCTCAGTGTCCGGCTGGCCGCTGATGCCCTGCAGCATGTGCTGCATCGTCTGCCGCATACGGTCCAGCATGCCGTCCAGCATGCTCGGGAACGGACCGTCGCCCGTCATCGGGCCTGCCGGGGAGGCGGACGGGGGAGATGGGTCAGAGCTGAGAGCAGCGACACTCGTGGAGCCGACAGCAGATTGGTGAGTCAAGCCAGCTTTAGTTACCGAGGTAAAATGCGCTAAAATACTATGGTAGATTAGCGTTACAGTTAGGAGAAAAACTTCTTACAAGCGCGTATAATCCAAGAAAACGATGGTGACGCATGCATCTACCAAGACACCAATCAGCCTCGGTAAGCCGCAGCTATGGTTCACCGATTTTATCTATTGGACAAGAACACAAGTTATCACGCTTTCAGAGCAGTTGAGGTAAAGTAGCGTCAAGCGTAAATGATAACTTATCTCCGCTTTCAAACATTTCAATCGGTCATCAGGACTATTACTATGTTGCTGATAAAATATCATGACAGGCACTGACAGCGTTCAGGTACCCGTATGTCACATTATCTAATCAGATCATTCAGTCAGATAATAGCAAAGATCATCTGTGTACTATCAGAATCAGTATCAACCATCGTAATAAATAAATCTTCTACAAAGGCATCACAAGTTGCCAGATAAAACTCCGGTAAAGTGAAACTCATCCCTAACTACGAACCCCACCAACTGACCCATCCCCTTCTCCTACTGACCTCGCAGTGAGACTGCGACCCTCCCCTACTGACCTCGCTGTGACACGGTGACCCCCTTCCCCGTACTGACCTCGCTGTGACACGGTGACCCTCCCGTACTGACCTCGCTGTGACACGGTGACCCTCCCGTACTGACCTCGCTGTGACACGGTGACCCTCCCGTACTGACCTCGCTGTGACACAGTGACCCTCCCCTACTGACCTCGCTGTGAGACGGTGAACCTCCCCTACTGACCTCGCTGTGACACGATGACCCCCACTGACCTGGCTGTGACACGGTGACCCCCACTGACCTCGCTGTGACACGGTGACCCTCCCGTACTGACCTCGCTGTGACACGGTGACCCTGCCGTACTGACCTCGCTGTGACACGGTGACCCTGCCGTACTGACCTCGCTGTGACACGGTGACCCTCCCGTACTGACCTGGCTGTGACACGGTGACCCCCACTGACCTCGCTGTGACACGGTGACCCCCACTGACCTCGCTGTGACACGGTGACCCTCCCGTACTGACCTCGCTGTGACACGGTGACCCTCCCGTACTGACCTGGCTGTGACACGGTGACCCCCACTGACCTCGCTGTGACACGGTGACCCCCACTGACCTCGCTGTGACACGGTGACCCTCCCGTACTGACCTCGCTGTGACACGGTGACCCTCCCGTACTGACCTCGCTGTGACACGGTGACCCTCCCGTACTGACCTCGCTGTGACACGGTGACCCTCCCGTACTGACCTCGCTGTGACACAGTGACCCTCCCCTACTGACCTCGCTGTGAGACGGTGAACCTCCCCTACTGACCTCGCTGTGACACGATGACCCCCACTGACCTGGCTGTGACACGGTGACCCCCACTGACCTCGCTGTGACACGGTGACCCTCCCGTACTGACCTCGCTGTGACACGGTGACCCTCCCGTACTGACCTCGCTGTGACACGGTGACCCTGCCGTACTGACCTCGCTGTGACACGGTGACCCTCCCGTACTGACCTCGCTGTGACACGGTGACCCTCCCGTACTGACCTCGCTGTGACACGGTGACCCTCCCGTACTGACCTCGCTGTGACACGGTGACCCCCTTCCCCGTACTGACCTCGCTGTGACACGATGACCCCCACTGACCTCGCTGTGACACGGTGACCCGTACTGACCTCACCGTGAGACGGTGGCCCTCCCGTACAGCTGGCCTCGCTGTGACACGGTGACCCTCCCGTACTGACCTCGCTGTGACACGGTGACCCTTCCGTACTGACCTCGCTGTGACACGGTGACCCTCCCGTACTGACCTCGCTGTGACACGGTGACCCTCCCGTACTGACCTCGCTGTGAGACGGTGACGCGCGCCGGCCCCTCGATGACGTGCATCTGGTCTCCGTCGTGGACCAGGACCGACGACTGGGAGCGCTGAACCTGCTGGCCGTCTTCCGACTCGAACGAGTACTTCCTGACCACGGACATGACGACCGGCGCGCCATCCTCGTCCTGGACCGGGCGGCGCGGCGGAACGTCAGGGAGGAGCGACGGAGACAGTGTACAGAAGGTCGGAGACCGAAAGAGAGAGGTTCAGAACAACACTGCAGTTACAAAAAAAGCACGAATCGGCAGACAGGCTTTCCTAGATTTAATTCAGAGCCCTGCACGAGCCGTGGGTACAGAATTCGCATCACTTATTAACGCCTTTCTGGCCACCACCGGGCCATTTTCCACAGTGCAGGTAATAATGCGATACAAATATTTCCCTCGGCTGTGCCATATCCCGTGTGTGTGCGGCGTCACGGACCGCGGCGGTACCGGGAGCGCCGGAGCCAGTCCGTCCCGGCCCACCAGACAGCCGACCAGCCCGGCCGATCAATAACTAATGTGTCTTACCGCACCCCCGGGGCTCCGCTCGCTCCCCGTCCCCAGTCCCCGTGAAGCCATGTGGCGTGGGGTGGTTACAGATAGTACCTGAGCGACAACCCAGCCCACAGCAGCTGCCCTAAAACTTAACCGAGAAAGGGGCGACAGGAACACGCGTATGCCGGGAATATGAGGTAGAGGAAAGAGAGGCAAATGAGACGAGGATGAGGGTGAGAGGAAGGAGCGGGGAGAGAGAGAGAGAGAGAGAGAGAGAGAGAGAGAGAGAGAGAGAGAGAGAGAGAGAGAGAGAGAGAGAGAGAGAGAGAGAGAGAGAGAGAGAGAGAGAGAGAGAGAGAGAGAGAGAGACAGACAGACAGACAGACAGACAGACAGACAGACAGACAGACAGACAGACAGACAGACAGACAGAGAGACAGAGAGACAGAGAGACAGAGAGACAGAGAGACAGAGAGACAGAGAGACAGAGAGACAGAGAGACAGAGAGACAGAGAGACAGAGAGACAGAGAGACAGACAGACAGACAGACAGACAGACAGACAGACAGACAGACAGACAGACAGACAGACAGACAGACAGACAGACAGACAGACAGACAGACAGACAGACAGACAGACAGACAGACAGACAGACAGACAGACAGACAGACAGACAGACAGACAGACAGACAGACAGACAGACAGACAGACAGACAGACAGACAGACAGACAGACAGACAGACAGACAGACAGACAGACAGACAGACAGACAGACAGACAGACAGACAGACAGACAGACAGACAGACAGACAGACAGACAGACAGACAGACAGACAGACAGACAGACAGACAGACAGACAGACAGACAGACAGACAGACAGACAGACAGACAGACAGACAGACAGACAGACAGACAGACAGACAGACAGACAGACAGACAGACAGACAGACAGACAGACAGACAGACAGACAGACAGACAGACAGACAGACAGACAGACAGACAGACAGACAGACAGACAGACAGACAGACAGACAGACAGACAGACAGACAGACAGACAGACAGACAGACAGACAGACAGACAGACAGACAGACAGACAGACAGACAGACAGACAGACAGACAGACAGACAGACAGACAGACAGACAGACAGACAGACAGACAGACAGACAGACAGACAGACAGACAGACAGACAGACACAGATAGAGACAGACAGAGACAGATACAGAGAGGTGTGGAAGTGGGAGAGGGTAACCAAATTTCCCACAAGCAAAGTGAGTACTTCGCCTGCTAAATTTTAGACTGAGCGTTCAAACAAGACTTGCCTATTGCACGTCCTGACTTGCCGTCCGCCCAGAGCTGACTCACTTGTCGCCCTACCGTCGGACCCGGTTCAGCCGAGTGTCAGGGGTTCCCCGGCGCTAACCCCGTGGTACAGCGGGTCACTGTGAGACCGAATGGGACGGGAGCAGGGAGACATATGGGGTGTGGCACCCACCTGCTGTTTGGGCCGCTGGTGGTGGCAGCCGCTCTGACACGAGTGCTGCTCCACCGGCACCGGGTAGGCGGTGGCGCAGTCTGTAACACACAGATACAGTCAGTCGCGGTCACTGACTACACACACACAGACACACAGACTGACAGGCAGCCGCTCTAGCACGAGTGCTGCTCCACCGGCACCGGGTAGGCGGTGGCGCAGTCTGTAACACACAGATACAGTCAGTCGCGGTCACTGAGTACACACAGACAGACACAGCAGCTAGTCACTGCCCCCTGTGCACAACTCTAGGCACGACTCTCACGACTCCCTTTGTAGAACTCCACAAACAGTCTGGCCACCCAGTCTCGGCCTCTAATACAGACTTGCACAGAAAGTCAGGAGTCAACCAGTCAGCGCCTCCCGTACAGACGTGTCGCAACAGCCAGCCGTGATCCATATACATTACGCACGATGCGCTAGTCCAGCATGTCGATATCTTTCACATGTATATTATGCTTAAAGAATAATGATGTGGATCTCATTGAGTCTGCGAACTTCAGCTGCGCTTAAATTTGCAGAAGTGCTTCTTAGTGGAGCGAGAGGTTAGGCGTAAGCTTTACGCTTTAGCGCGCTGTTTTCACTTTTCTTCAGAGACCGGCCTTCGCATCCATGTGTGAAGCCTTCGCATCCATCGTTTGCCATGTGTGAAGAGTGGTGACTGCTACCAACCGTCACTCACGCCCTCGTCACAATCGTGACCGCGGCGTCACGAACCGCGCTACATGCCGACGTCACGCACGGCCGACGGCAGTGCCAACTGGCCGGTCTCTACAGCCCCGTCTCCTACCCCAGCACAGCCGTACGAGCCGCCGGTGAAAGGTGGCTCTATCGGATACGGTGGACTGTGCACGGCTGAAAGAACGGAAAGCGACAGATCCCCGGAGTTGTACGGCAAAGAGCGATGTGAATGTGTGGTAGGTTAATATAATGTGAGCCGTGAGCTCACATTTGGCGCACTGGCCACCGTGCTTGGTCACCGTTCGGCCCGGTGTGAACTCACCTTTAGCGCACTTATGCCGGTGCTCGCCGGCCCTCAGTTGTGGCTCGATGTGAACTCACCCTTAACCCGGCAGTTGCTGGGGTATTTCGCCACCCACCGTTTGCTGGGGGGGGGGGGGCGTTAAGCGCCCCCAGCCGATAACTCGAGAACCAATAGGCGCAGCGAAACGCACGAGGCGGCAAACGAAAGAACGCGACGAGACGCTTCAGATGAGTGCTTTAAAGTTGAATTTTGAGGTCACAGGTCAGGTCAAGGTCAGGTCCAACACCTGAAATCGGGCTATCAGTAGCATGGACTTCAGGACTTCGCAATGGGCGCCTCTCGTCATAAAATCTATCAAAACGGTGCACAATCCATCATATAAGGCCTACAAGAGTGTCAGCTCCATGCAGAGGTCAGTCAAGCATAGGTCAGGGTCAAGGTCAGGTCAACCGGGCAGGCACATATCCCCGAAAATCAAAACTGATATTCGCAGCCTGTGACACATGTTTTATGGGTAATTTGGGGCGTAGAGAACGATGGTGACATTCATTTTATCATATGTGTACGTGTTTGGCTAAAAAAGTTCAATTTAAGAAATGCATGTATCATGGTCGTGAAGTAGTCACGAGAAATTGCCAAGATTCAGTTCAAGATTTTGGAAAATGCGGAACGATAATCAATAATCGAAGATAGCCATCTCAATGTTCATGGTATTGGCAGTCTAATGGCGTTTACGGCATGTCTGTATGTCTATTCTGTGATTTTATATGATTTTTTGAAGATATGCCGTTTTTGGTCGAAAACTCAGAAATCATGACGTCACTAAAACCTCGATACCATGGGTGTAGTTTTCCAAAAATCATTGGGGGTGCTCAATAGCTTTCAGAAAGGCATGCCATATTTTCGTAGGTCTTTTTCAGCTGTTCTTTTTTACTGTATCAGGCATCATGCAAGAAATGATGTTAAATCGATTCGAGAGCTTGTTTTAATAGCGCCACTGTAAAACAATTTTGGCTCACCCAATGCATTCATAATCACGGAAGTTTTTGAACATATTTCAGAACACGCTGGGTTTAAAATTTTTAAATTCAGGCCCTACCGGACTTTTGGTAGGTCCGCGCTTAGGCAGCCTGGTCTGCATAGCTCTGCACGAATGAGCTTATATTGAGGGCTATCCAACATGACGCCTGACGGGACAGGCTCGATGGTTACTCTCCGGACATGGTTCTCGTGAAATATTGCATTTTGTCCCTGGAACTTAAACCTCGCCGGCACAGGCCATTTTGCGTCCTTCGATGGCACAATGTCAAGTCAAGGCACAAGTTAACCGGTTGGTAAGACCCCCCCCCTCGCGTTTGGCCTCTGATCGAGCTAGAGCTTCGCGGAAAAAAAACGAGCGTGTTGCCCGTCACGAGAGAAAGCCGGTGATACCCAATTTTAAGGTCCTAGGTCATCGGTTGACCTTTCAGGTCAGGTCAATGACCCAAAAGTCAGGAAATCGTTAGAAAGTCGTAAAGTGTGGCTGCTATGGGGTTTCCGGGGTGCTGATCACGAATATCGTGTAAGTTTTGATCACAGATGATGTCTTTAAGCATTTAGACCAGGTCGGGTCAGGTCAGGTCAGGTCAACCGGTAGGGGCCGTGACGGGTATTTGTAGTACGTGTCAACCGCCTCTGACAGCTTCGTAACATGTTACGAAGGCACCAAACTACTTCGAAAATGTTCAAATGGTTGCTAAATTCGAATTCAGCTCGAAAAACTAGCCTAGAAACATGTAAAACTCAAAAAAGTGAACCGAGGTCACCAAAGGTAAATGACCTGACCTGATCTTCAGGTGACCTTGACATCCACCCTAATGCATGGGAGCAACATCAAATCACATGCTTGAACGTTTGAAACCAAAAAAAACTTGCAAAAGCGCGGCTAAGGCAAGCCGACATACGCCGAATCGCGATTCCGGTCAAACATGGTCTCGGAAAGCAGGTCACAGGTCAAAGGTCATTTGGGTCAGGTCATGAAATTTTTAGAGTAGGTGTAAAATTGATCAATGCGAGGGTACTGAAAGTTTCGTCGCGATCGGCCGCTTTTTACGCGAGTTATTCGCGAAAAACCTTAGGGGGGTTGCATCACCCCCCCCCCCCCCCTGTGCCGGCGAGGGTTAAATAATAGGGCTATACTTGCCGTGCTATATTTACATTTATGTACTCAAAAATGATTTAATTTGATTAAAAATATTTAAAAATAGCACATTGATTTCAATAAACGAAAGTCATAGATTTGCTGCCGGATGCTGGGGCTCCTCATGAGGAGCATGGAGAATAGATGCCAGCTTGTCCACCTCCAGCGCGTCTCGAGCACAGGGTGATACTATGCGCGTTCAATGCTCATGTTAGGTCCGTCCTCCAATACGGAAGTGTCATTTGGAGCGGTGCAGCCCAGTTCCAGCTGGTACGGCTGGAGCGGCTACAGCACTGCTTTCTCATGTGGCTAGGGGCTAAAACGCAGAGGAACTGTCCTATAGACTATCGTAGTCTACTGCAAACTTTTAAAACTGAGTCCATCAAAGCCCGCCTCATTCATACCGATGTCATGTTCTTGTACCAACTTCTTCACCACCGTATACCGACTGCGCTTACCTGGTATCGATGTTTGGCCAGTGGCCTTAACCCTCGTCAGCACGGGGGGGGGGGGGTTGATGCAACATTCCCTCCTCGTTTTTTCGCGAATAACCCGCGTAAAAAGCGGCCGATCGCGACGAAACTTTAGGTACGGGGACCCGCAGTTGCTACTGTACACGAACCCCAAGTCTAACCGCCTGTCCTGTCCAGTAACAACCGATAACATTGATATCGACTGCTGGTCCCTGTATGTACAAGAGCAGCTGAGGTTTCCTGTGAGTACCCTCTGACAGCTTATCGTTGTTCCCTGTGAGGGTGCTGGGACAATTTACTCAGGGTCGCTGTACAGTAGCAACTGCGGTTTCCTGTACCCTCGCATTGATCAATTTTACACCAATCCTTAAAATTTCATGACCCTGACCCAAAAGAGCTTTGACCTGTGACCTACTTTCAGAGGCCATGTTTGGCCGGAATTGCGATTCGGCGTATGTCGGCTCGCATTAGCCGCGCGTTTGCAAGCTTTTCGTGGTTTCAAACGTTCAAACATGTGATCTGATGTTGCTCCCATGCATGGTGGATGTCAAGGTCACCTGATGGTCAGGTCAGGTCATTGACCTTTGGTGACCTCGGTTCACTTTTTCGAGTTTTACATGTTTCTAGGCTAGTTTTTTTTAGCTGAACTCGAATTTATCAACCATTTCAACATTTACGAAGTAGTTTTTGTGCCTTCGTAACATGCTACGAAGCTGTCAGAGGCGGTTGACACGTTCTACGAATACCCGTCACGACCCCTACCGGTTGACCTGACCTGACCTGACCCGACCTGGTCTAAATGCCCAAAGACATCATCTGTGATCAAAACTAACACGATATTCGTGATCAGCACCCCAGAAAACCCCATAGCAGCCACACTTTACGACTTTTTAACAGGTCCCGATTTCCCGACATTTGGGTCATTGACCTGACCTGGAAGGTCGGCCGATGATCTAGGACCTTAAAATTGGATATCATCGGCTTCCTCTCGTGACGGGCAACACGTTCAATTTTTCCTCGAAGCTCTAGCTCGATCAGGGGCCAAACGCGAGGGGGGTCGTACCCCCCCCCCCCCCACTTGTGTCGTCGAAGGACGCAAATTGGCCTGTGCCGGCGGGGGTTAATGTGCCTGGGAGGCGTAACCGCCGCACGGGCTTGTTTCATGTGCCCTTCGGGAGAGTGAACACCGTAAAGAACTGTCTTTCTGTGCATATTCCTCGGTTGTGCATTTGTGCAATCAATTTTTGGCACAAGGTCCGTCGGTGGACTTTTACCACCCTTCCACGTCCTTCCGGCGTGAGGCTTTCCAGTACTTCCGAACACTGGACACCTATGGGATCTCTCTGTCATCATGTCCCACTTGATTCATTGACCCAGGTTGTACTGAACTTTTAGAATATTACAGAAAATTGGATATTGTTAGGCTGGCGGCTGCTTATACATGCTTGTATGTTTTACCCAAACAGAGGAACTAAGTATGGTGTTGTGAATGTAGATAAATTTTACAGCCATTGACATTGTTTGCCAACCTTCATTTATGTTAGATTGGAGATCTTACTTAGTCCCAAGCACCAATCACCATAACATCATATGTAATGTAAACACAAATATCATGCATCTTAATTTGTGGTAATTTATTCAATGTATATTGTATATTCTCTTGTCACTGAATTGAGTAAGGATATAGTATTTGCATGATTCACCGAGCTCATTACAGTAGGTACTAGGAGAAGAAAATACTGATTATTGAGGGCCTTGAGTCAGCTGGGAATGTTTTGAGGAGGCTGGGGGTGCTTTAAGGAGGCAGGGGGTGCTTTAGGGAGGCAGGGGGTGCTGAGCTCAGGATTGGGGGTGCTTGAGCACCCACAAAGAGATATAAAGTTACGCTTATGCTCGATACCTCAAAAATTTTCCGACCGATTTTTTTTGAAACTTTGTCACAATAAACTTCAATCAATTCCCTACAGGTACCCAAAATTTGGCGCGCCTGCGGCGCGCCGTTTTTATGCAATGGCCCGGCGAAAAAAGTGGGGGCGTTTAACGCCCCCCCCAGCAATTCGCGGGTTAACGCACTTGTCGCGGTGCTCAATCACGGCTCGGCTCGATGTGAACTCACCTTTAGCGCACTTGTCGCGGTGCTCGCCGGCGCTCAGCTGTGGTTCGTTGGCCTCTCCCAGTGCAAACAGGCGACAGCCGCGCTCGCAGGCAGCCGCCGAGCCCGCTGCGTTCGCCTGGGAAGGAGGCGGGGAGGGGCGTCAGTGACACGGGACGGGACGGGACGGAACATCAGCGACGGTCGCCTGGGACAACAGGGGACGGTACACGTCAGCCACAGCGACCCAACTCGGTCAATGTAGCCGGGGGTGAGGGGGACACACCGGCAGGTAATGACCGACAAAACAGCGGCAACTCACTCAGGGTGACTGCCAGCGGTGGCGCCGGCGTTTGCAGCACATTTCGTCCTCCACATCAATAGTGCAGAATGTTTGCACGCTCTGCAGGTCAATACCGTGCCGCACGGTAGTTACCAATACACAGAAACCATGCAACGGTCGTTGGTTAGCGGTAGGTATATTGAAGGTATGCATAACGTAGAGCGTGCCGTTTCTCCAATCAGGGCCGGCCAGATAGCACTGCAGATGCCATGTATCGTCTCGTTTCCTGTCCGTGTTCAACATACCCAACCCTTGCAGAGGCCAACGGACTCATCATCTCCAGCCTAACCCAGAGGGAGTCACCGCCAGCTGGCGTCATGACCTACCACAGCAGCCGTCACGGCGGGCAGCGGCCGGCGCTGACCGGGCGTCCCCTCCCCACCTTGGCCCACCGAAACTGTGACCCCGCGCCGCGGGTTACGTCCGTGGCTATATGGGGCTACCGGACCTTATCCAGCATACTACCCTTCCCCTATCAAAGGGGCGTGCGGTGACCCCTTGTGACACACGCCGCCCTACTGTGCTCACCCCTGACCGGACGGCACATGCCGTGAGGTGACCCCTTGTGAGACACGCCGTCCTCCTGCACCGTCCCTGACCGGGCGTCACGCCGTCTGCCCAGTCTCGCCCGCCTCGTGACCCGCCGGCACGCCGGGTCACACAGTTACGTCGTCCGACACTGCGGCGACGGCCACGGCCGGCTGCCAACAATCGACCACGTCTGTACTGCGACACAAGCCGACGCCGCTGCCGCCAGCAACGCCGCGGCGCGCCTGGGGACGGGAGGCTCCGGACCACAGGCCGTGCAGCCGAAATCGGGCCATACGAATGACCGTAATACGAGTACCACGGACTGAGAAATGATACTATGTAGAGTAGAACCGTCCTATTGTTTTGTTTATTGGTGCTTTGGGAGCGTCGACTGCTATGACCATTTAGTGCCCACAAAGACGCGTGGCACTGAGACACGCGGGGTACGTGATTCGGTCCGCTTTTCAGTAGTGTTATCAGCGCACAGTGCGTGCTCGAGGGACTGTTGTTCGAAAAACACGGAGCAGTTCGCCAGACGATAACAGCACCAGTGACAACAGCAGACGCCGTGTCACTCAGCACACAATTGGACAGAGGGAGCGTTGGAGCTTATCATATACTGGTATAGAGCGCATACTTTCCATTCTGCTTCTGCATGAAAACTGTGTACACTTCCAGACCATAGGAGAAATTAATTGCGGGTCTTCGGGCAAAATTCATCAAAATTGCATCACATCTGCACGCTGATAGGAAACATTGAATTTTAACCGACCCAAAACGAAAATAATAGTGGAGCTCCATAATCCATAAAACTGGGACGCAATTAAAGACGCATTTCCAGCGCCAACGTCGGCAACAATAGTATCGGTGTCGGGTACTCACAAACTCTTTGGCGCACTGCTGGTAGCACTCGGCGTTCCGCTGTTCGACCTGCTGTTTGTAGCCGAGCTGGGGCTCAGTCTCGGCGGACGGCGTCGGGTCGCGCACCAGAGTGATGGGGGGCAGCTGGAGCAGGGCGCGCGGGTCGCCCAGCCGCTGCAGCGAGAACAGCACCTGGGCCGAGCCGGCGCCGGCCAGCAGCAGCACCGCAGCCGCCACGCGCATCGTTAGTCTGCGGACAGAGGGCGGCCGGGGAGGTGGTGACGGCGGCCAGGGAGGTGGTGACGGCGGCCGGGGAGGTGGTGGCGGGGCCGGGGAGGTGGTGACGGCGGCCGGGGAGGTGGTGGCGGGGCCGGGGAGGTGGTGGCGGGGCCGGGGAGGTGGTGACGGCGGCCGGGGAGGTGGTGGCGGGGCCGGGGAGGTGGTGACGGACCGGGCACACATGTGGTCGTGTGGCGGAGTCCTTGTGTCCGAGGGGGATAGGCAGGGGTTGGGAGAGCAGCGACACCGATGAAAAGTCATCTCACGAGTTACTGAATGACGTGTCGAACAGACAGAAGACTGAGAAAATAGCTGACTCACTGAGCATACAACGAATGTCGCACTTTAGTGTTGACGTGAAACTGCGCTAAGCCTCGCTAGTCAGCCGTCTTGGTAGCACATGCCCGTTACTCGGAAACGGGAAACACTTATGTAATATGTAGCTGGGGGGGACGACAGACAAACGCCCTCGGGTCCCACCCCATTAGAACTACCCACGCTCCAGTGGCGCCAGAGACCCGGTGACACGGAGCAGAACCCAGGTCACGGAGAGGTCGTAACAAACCCCGGACAGGGCGCTTATTAGACGTGAACGAGATGTTGTCGTGACAAGGGTGCTTTCAGCAGTCGTCAATGACACGGTACCGCTGTAAGAGATCAGGAAGTAAGCGCAATATTAGTAACTACCTAATAAGTACTGGATAGTGGATAGTCATAGGGAAGTGTCAAGGCCATGCGTCCGCTGACATCGCTCAATTCTCGCCCCGCGGAGAGCTGTCTAACTGAACATACCTATTATCAACTGCCCCCGGAAATGTGCCTACCCGTGTGCACTAAGCAGTACGAACTGTGCAGAATGCAGATCAGGGACGGAGCAAAGACGAGAGAAATATAGTCATGATGGAAATATCATTGTTCTTTTTCCTTCACTGTTCTGCTGGCAGTAAAACAATGAAGTGGAGGCTGCCAATTCAAAACAAAGAAAGTGGTGCAAATATGAAATAAGGGACCATTTCCTATCGATATGTGGCAATCATAAATGTCAAAGCGGGACTGTGCTACACGCAAAATGACCTTTAAGCGGCCGGGCCCACACAACGGCGACTGCCAACTCAAATATTGATCGTCACGCTGGCAGGGGTGGGGGGGGGGGGGGGGGTAGGTCGGGGAGGGGGTGCGGCGACCGGACACCTGAGCTGCGCAATATATCGCCGCCTTGTAGTAGGGCGAAGGCGCCACTGCCCGATAACACGCAATCAAAAATAGATGTGGTGACGCGAAAGAACAAAGAAAATACCACGAATGTCCGTTAAACGTCACTTAAATCACAAACTTTTTCTCGTAAACGCTGAACGTCAGTGTCACTTAGTAGTTGTCTTACCCTAAAGACACCTGAAAACGACCTTCGCGAGCGTTCAACTATACAGGAAACACGCGAAAGGAAATCAAAACGTGTAAAATATCCGGGCCGCTGCGTTGTTTCCGTGTTTTCAGAGAAGGGAAAGCGCGGTGCTGCACCAGATACGAGCGCTGGACACTGGTCAGCGGCGATAGTGGATATCGGGGCGATCGGCCGGCCGCCGCTGATGCCGGCCACGGGTCGTACCGGGCCGCGGGGCCGGCGCGGCGGGTGGCGCACACACCCAGGAAGGCGGCAGCTTCCGCTGCTGTACCCACACTGACACCGCACCCAGTAATGAGAATGGAAGGGTATTATTGCTTCCAAATTAAGCTTGATCCTCACTTCGCTCCAGAACTGTAGTGAATACCCTACCGAAGCCCGAGTTTTACCGAGATACCCGGCTCGGCGAGCCGTGCGATAGACCAGAGGTTTGACATCCGGGGCCTTGTGTCATCCGGGAGTTTCAAACGCGCGGGTAGGGATGCGGACGTGACCTGTGGTCGGTCAGCGTTCGGCGATTTCGGCCTCGGGCGCCTCAGACGTCAGAGGCATGACCCGGCGCTCAGGCGCAGCGCCCGGCGAGAGACGGGCCGCAACCGTAGTGCAGCTAGACGCGCGATCGGAACGGAATTCAGCCAGGACCCGCATCGTAGGTCAAAGGTCAAGGGCACATATGGCCGGCGGGCGAGACCAGCGGCCGAAACAGAAGTCGCTGTGAGGCGAGGGCAGTGATCCGACGCCGGCCCGGGCCTGGACGATGTCTGATAACGTTTTTTGCTCTACTGCGGGGTGCTTTGACTTCGCTAGTTTTAATATTGCGTGTAATAATCATAAGCACAGTATGATTTATAACAATAATGTCAATATAATCTGAACATATATTATTATTTATCAGATAATTATTAACCCGCGCCAAGCAGGTGCTCGGCGCCAACCACCTCGCCCCCCCCCCCCCCCCCACTAACTCGGCTCCTGGGCCACGTATGCGACACGTGGTAAGCTGCATTCGAAAGAGCTCTAAAAATCTAATAAAAATTATTGTTTGCTTGCTTCGTGCAATTGGGAAAAAACAATGTCTGGGAAGGCACTCTCCTCGGCCAGCGACGTCTAGGACATAATTTGATTCCCTTCTTCAGAAAATGTGAAAAGGTTTAGCGTAAGTCCGTGTAGCACTCAAGTTGCCAAGCGTGCCAAATATTTTCTCACCCGTAACACGCCCATCCAGCGCTCCCCACCCGATCATCGGCCTGACCACTGCACTGTGGCGCTCTCATCGTCCCTGATTGGATAGAATGTGACCCAGCTATGCGTCACGCTCACGTGCCCGCCATTATCACAGGTCACACCCGTGTCTGCCCCAGGCGCGGACTGACAGTCACAAGGTCCACGCACTGCTTCAGTCTGACACGCACCTCACCGGGACAGCTATCCTGGCGATACGGGAGGGGCTCGGGAGGGTATTCAATGCAGTACTAGAGCCAGGCGCGAATCAAGCTTGATTTGGAAGCAATAGTACCTACCGTATGCGCAGCGCACACATCGGGTAAGCTTCCGCTGCTGTACCCACACTGACACCGCACCCAGTAATGAGAACGGAAGGGTACCTAGTACCTACCGTATGCGCAACGCACATATCGGGTAACGGCGACATGGCGTTATCATGAATACATCTCACGTTATTTCAACTGAACTATCCTATGGCACAAAGGGAAGCCTTTCCACTCCGAAGACTCCCAATCCTGAGTGTAGTGTTCATTTTAAGTTTTGGCCTTTTCGTCCATCCGTTTGTATTCTCCTCGAAGACATTTCATTACTTGAAACTTGAAAGGCACGTTGATGAAACCGTAAACAATAAACATCGTCATTCTGCATCAATGACCAGTAGGTATCAGCAATAACACCCAGAAAAGCCCATTAAGTCATGCGAAAGTTAGTGGCACATCTATAAAAATATGAAAACTACTGCCACATCATGACTATCACCCTGCAGAAAATATTTTTCCAGAGCATTCCACTTGAGCATGGGAATAAAGCATTACGTAACGGCTAACGCAACACTGGCAGCAGCTTCAACTCTTCATAGTTCATACGGCTATTTATTGAATGGGATGAGCCTGATTCAGCGGTTATCACCTCAGCACTACCCGTCTCCCAGCCCATCTTATATCTGTTATTCGACTCACCGCTGCCGGGGCCCTCCTACTCCGACGGTCGCCGTCACAACACTCTCTGTTGTCGGTGCGGCCGCGGCGGCCCCCAGCCGCCCCCCCCCCCCTCCGCCCCCTCCCCGAGCGATACCGACCAATACGACGGCGCGGCACCTTTCATAAGAACCTACAACGCAGAAACTACGCCATGGAACAAGGCCGTGTAGCAACAGACCCAGAGCTTTGGTGCAAGGAACATTCATGAACAGGAAGAGAGTTTGCACGTTTTCCTGCTATCACCGGAATCGAGCAGTGGGAAAAATGGTACTGGCTGGCGGCCGCTGCAGCCGGCGGGCGCGGCGGCCGGCTGGCTGCTGCGAGGGCCCGGCCGGCCTGGTCGATGGTTGCCGGGCGGTGCTGAATCGTCAACCGTGGCGCCGGGCCCCGGTACCACGACCAGCGAGGTCCGTCCGCACAGCATTGAGACCGAGAACGAACGTAGCATAACACCTCCAGACATAGTACCTTCCTAACTTCTTCCTGACTCCCAAGTCGTCAGCATACATATTCATTAGAAAAAAGAATATAACTACTCCGTCCTGTAGATCACATGGTAGAGCTTTGGATTCCCGGTTCGGATCATTCCACCTAACCTTAATGAAAATATCAACACCTCAGCAGAGTTAACATTACAACACTGGTCTATCTGCACCGAAGGTTCATATAGAGTCTGCGCTTCTTCTGCCTAGAGCGTGGCCGGCGGGGGCGGGTCGGTGGCGACCTGAACCCGCCCCACTCTCTTGATGCGCCGGCCCCGAGAGCATTTCCGCCAGGGTCGGACAGTGCCCCAGAAGCCGGCCCTCGCCGTTACGTGTGCGGGGCACCCGGCCAGGACGTGCTCCACGTCCTCCTCCTCGCCGCAGGCTCGGCAGGTCGGATCTGCGACCAGGCCGAGGCGATGAGCTGAGCTGGGACAAGGTGACCTGGTCCCACCCGTCCAGCTCATCGTGGCTCGGAGTGGGATCTCGATGAGTGTGCCGCGGAGGCCAACTCCGATGCCCAGCGGCGGATGACTGCCGCGCACTGGAGAGGTCGATTGGGGCCTGCACTTGAGCGCAGGCGGCGGCGGCTTGGTTGGCGAGGCGGTCGGCGGCCTCGTTGCCGGCGAGGTCAGCGTGCCGGAGAGTCTGTGCTGCTCTGCACAGACTCCCGGTCGGGGCTCCAGCTACTCAGCCGCGGCCCGGGTGACAACAGTCGGCCATCGGTCAGCGCGTCCGGGGCCTAATAGACGCGCTGACAGCCGCAGGGACGGACATCACCCTGCACTGGGTCCCGGACCACGCCGACCTCGCCGGCAACGAGGCAGCCAACCGCCTGTTGTTGTTGTTGTTGTTGTTGTTGTTGTTCCCTCCGCTTCAATGG